GCTCAAAAGGGGGCCAAAATGGGCACGGGAGGTGCACGTTTCTCCTCCCCCCCATTTGATCGCCCCCCCCCCCCAACCGGCAACGCTCGAGCCGGGCGGAGTCAACAGGCGGGTGCCGACGTGGCAGCCCCTGTCAAACACATTTTTTTTTGCGTCGGCGGCGGGGCAGGGGTCGCCTGCGCCGCCGGAAAGGCCTAAACGGGGTTTCCGTTGAGGCGAAATTTGCCACCGTCCTGTCAAACAAACACGCGCGAAGCAGTTGTATGTTTTGGTGGAGTTTGCACTTAGCGCATCAGTAGCGACTGTTCCCTGGAACTGTCCAAGGACTGGTGCGCCGATGCCTCGGCAGGTGCAAATGCGGGCGCGCGACGCCTCACGACGCATCGGAGCCTGCGCGCAGGGATGCCTGGGCAGGGGGTGCAGAGGGTGCAGCAGCGACATCGTGAACGCCGCTGTCTCGAAGAGAAAAACACGGCATCTTTGGACGGTCCGCGTGGATTTTTGTTGGGTCTGCGATGGACACCCTGGCGGTGCCTCTGGCGCTGCTCTTGGCGCGCTCCGCGCGCCTGGGAAGGGGGTCCGCGCAGATCCAAGAAATCCGCGCGGGCCGTCGAAAGTTCGTATGTATGCAGCTGTGTCTTCCTCTACTGACGCCAGGCAGCTTCGCAAGCACCGGAAGCTGGGTTCAGGAACTCTCCGCGCGCCCACAGTATGACGGCCGCGCCGTTCTGCTGTTCAGTGCGCTGGCGATGTGGATGCAAAGTTTGGTCGCGGAGCCCGTTTGATTCGCCCAGGTTCGCGTCGGACACATATCTCGCTTAGAGGGCTTTTTGTTTTCATAGACTCAGGCAAATGCATTTGCATGGCATTTCCCCCCCCCACACCCAGCCCTCCCACCCCCTCTCCGCCAACCCCTCTCGAGCAGTGCTGGGCCGGGAAGGCGTGCAAGTGTGTCCCAGCTTGCGTGGCGTCCAGACTCCCTCTGCGGGCCTCAACACGCCGCCCCCCCTCCCCCTCCCACGCCATGAATCTGCCAGAATAGTATAGGAGAGAGCAACCTCTGGGGACTCCTGACGAACGCGTTCAACCTGCCTGCGTGGGCGCACCCTTCCCCGTGGCCCTGGCATTAAGTCGGGCCTGTCCCTCTACAGGAGGAATATTCAAAAAGAGCCCCCCCAAAAAAGTCTCGGGACGATGTTGTGAGTATTTTTGAATATTTGGGGGGCATTGTCTGGCCATTTTTCAGTTGTCGTCCAAAATCCGCCTCTTGGGGGACAGGCCCGACCTCACCCCAGCAGCCGGGCCTGGCCGCCCTCGTGTGCAGTCTCGACGTCCCGCCGCCCCGCTCTCGGTGTCTGCACGGCGCGCCCGCGCGCGAACATGGTGCCGCGGCCGCTCTTCGGCTTCGGGGCCGGAGCGCGCCCCCGTTGGAGAGGGCAGGGCGAGGGTGACGGCGCTCGCCTGCTCGTGGTAGCTCGTGGTGCCATTCTGTGGGCGCCCCGCGTGTCTTTTCCAGGCTCCGGCCCGCGTGGAGAGGAGCGCGGCCTGCTGGACTTCTACCTGGCCAGCTCGTTCCCGCTAGCCTGTCAGTCTTTGTCCTCCTCCTCCTCCTCCTCCTTGCTCCTCCTGATCGTCTTTGCGCGAGCGGCTTCGAGCTAAGCCTCGCCGACGCCTGGTGCCCGAATGCCGTACAGGTTTGTTGCGATCTGTGGCATCCACGTTGCGTCTTGGCAGTCCTAAGTTGCGGAACAAAAAGGGGGACATGCCCGGCCTAGCCCTAGGCTGCGCGGCTGGGCTCCGCAGCCAGCTCGGGGTCCCAGGCTTCGTCTGGCCAGCTGAGCGGAGCCAGCCTGCCTGAAGGTCTCACCCATGTAAGCTGGGAGTGACGCTGGACTTGTGGACGACGAGCAATGGAGAGGAAGCATGTCGCCCCCCCCCCAAGCAAAACAAGTTGATGGCGATGACGTGCGGTCGGGAACTTCTGGATAGCGTGAAGTCGGGCCCGCACTTCTACAGGAGGAATATTCAAAAGCAGTAAAACATAGTCTGGGGACGATGCTTTTTTTTGTCAAAACCATTTTTTATGTTTGTGACTATTTTTATTATTTCGTCCAAACTCCGCCTGCAGGGGGACATGCCCGACCTAAGAATAGCGTGCCGTTCCGCCGGTTCTGGCCAGCCGCGCTGCGGCGCGACGCGCTAGCCAGATCAGCGCTACCCGAGCCTTTCCCCAGCCTCCGGCTCCGCGGGTGCGGAGCGGCACGCGGTCCGCTTCCGGGGCACAGCGTGTCGCCTGGGGCCGCCGCGGCCACGCGCTGCGGAAGAGCTCGTGACCGTAATGATGATGACGATGACGAGGATGCTGATGATGATGGGATGGTGGCGATGATGATGGAGACGGCGATGATGATGGTGACGATGAGATTGATGATGATAAGAACAATGGTGGTGACGATGATGAAAATGATGATGCTGATGATGATGCTGATTATGATGATGATGATGATGCTGATGATGATGATTATGATGATGGTGATGATGATGATGATGGTGATGATGATGATAGTGGTGGTGGTGATGATGATGATGATGATGATGATGATGATGATGGTCATGGTGATTGTGATGGTCATGGTGATGGTCACGGTGATGCTGGTGGTGGTGGTGGTCGTGATCATGATGATGATGTTATAGTGAAGCTGGTGATGGCGGTTGATGTCAGGAGCACGCAGGCCTTCGAGCCTCCCACGCTTTTTGTGGGGATAGTAAATCCCACCCCCACTCCTGGCCAGGACCCTCATTCCTGACCTGTTAATCCAGGGCGTCCTTGCTGAGGGTGGGGGTGGCTTTTCGGGGCTCTTGGGGGCCAAAAAGCCATCCCCCACCCCAGCGTGGACCCCCTGGATCACTAGGTCGGGAGTTGTGGGTTCTCTTGGGGGTGGGGGGGGTGTACTGTCCTCATGTTGAGGTCGATGCCGATACGCTGATCTTTTTGTCGCGTTCTCCGCTCGCTTCAGGCTTTGCGCAGTCGGTTACGATGCGATGCGGTGAGGGCGTTTGTTAAGGAACGTGCCCAGGAGGCTTCAGACCCTGGAGGATTCCTTATCCGATGAGGGCGGCGGCGACATCCATGGCCAATTCACGATTGGATCCCTCACCGAAGGTTTCCTTATCCAATGCCCCCACCGTAGAGCTGCTGCGTTTCGCGCTGTTGCTGCTCTGCCTGGGTCGGGGGCGCTCGCACGCGGACGTGTCAGTCCCGAGAACGGCGCACTGCCCCGACCTCTGTGGGCCCCGGAAACGGCAGGGCCGCTTTTCCACCGTTTCCCCCAAAATGTCCCTTGAGAATGGAAACGGCAAAAAAGGGCGACCGGAAACGGCAAAGAAACGGCTCCAGGATTGGAACCGGAGCCAGAACCGGGCAAAAAACGGCGACGGAACCGGTAACAAGAACGGCGTCGGAACGGGTAAACAAAAACGGCAAAACGGAGCCGGTAACAAAAACGGCCCTGTCGTTTCCAGGGCCCACTAAGGGCCCCGACCCGACGCTCGACGACTTCCCTCCCCTCCCTGCCCGCCGCCTCCTCCCCGCCCTCCTCCCTGCGTGCCCTCCTGCCTTCGCCCCCGTCCTCGCCCCCCCCGCGGCCCGCGGCCGAAGGAGAGCTCGGATCCCCCGTTCCACCAGTGATGCCTCCTCCTCCTCCTCCTCCTCCTCCTCGTCCCTTCCTCCTCCTCATCCTCCACCTCCTCCCTCCCTCCTCCTCCTCCTCCTCCTCCTCCTCCTCGTCATCATCATCATCATCATCATCATCATCATCATCATCATCATCATCATCATCATCATCATCATCATCATCATCATCATCATCATCATCATCCCCTCCTCCTCCTCCTCCTCCTCCTCCTGGAGGGGGGGCGGATGCCACGACAGAGGGAGGTCGTGCCATGTGGATGTCCCACCTCGGCTACAATCTGGCTGCTGCTCCTCAAGCAGCTACCCCCCCTGCCCACAGCGGCACTCAACCAAGGGGCCTCCTCCCTTTGCCCCTCCCTCCCTTTCCCCTCGCTCTCTCTGTCCATCTCCTGCTCTCTCATCCTCATCTGTCCTCTGTGTCTTTGACCTGCTTTCAGAGGTCGGACTGGACAATTGGGTCAAGTGGCTGGACATGGCGACGATGAGCGTCTCCGGGAACTTGGGGCGGGGAGTAGAAGGAGGAGGACGGAGAAGGATGTAGAGGATGAGGACGAGCAGAAGAAGGAGGGCGAGTTTGAAAAGGAGGACAAGGATAAGGAGGGAGAATCGTGAGGATGATTATGCGCATGAGGAGCATGAGGAGGGGGATGAGAAGGGGCCATAGCAGAACGAGACGCAGGAGGGTGATGAGGGTGAGTAGGAGCATAATGAGGGGCACCATGGGAAGACGCAGGAGCACGAGCAGATGGATGAGGAGGAGCAGGAGGCGCAGCGGATTTGGATGAGCAGCAGCAGCAAGAGGCGGGGAGGAGGGGTACTGAGGAGGAAAAGGATGTGAAGGAGGAGACAGGAAGCTGAGCCTGCACCACACCAAGAGCGTAGAGGCCCAGTTCAAGGCGATCTACAATTACGTCCTTCTTCGATTGCAGGATGCGGTTTCCATGCTGGTCAACGGCATCGTCGCCACCGTGTCCGCAGGCCTGTCGACGCTGGACGTACTCGTCGTCGCCCTCCTCCTCGCCGTCCTCGTCGTAGTCTCCATCATTCTCGTCATTGTCCTTGTCTATACTCCGCGTCCGCAGGCATATCGACGTTGGTGATGGTTTTCCTATACGTGCTCTTCTGGCTCTGGAGGCCGCTGCCGATCTGCGGCAACGCCAGCGCGCTCGTTCGGAACTATCTGGTGAAAAAGACGTTTGTGTCGAGTGTCTACGGCGTCGGAGTGGCCCTGCTTTTCCTCGCGGCCGGCAATGACCTCGCCATGTTTTTCGGGATGGTGTCGTTCTTCCTGAACTACGTGCCCGAGGCCGAGAGATCCTCCTGCTCCTCCTCATCCTCATCCACTCTCCCCACCTATTTCCTCATTCACATTTCCCACTTCTCTCTCTCTCTCTCGTTCTCTCTACCTGTCTCTCTTTCTGACCTTCCTGACTCAAGCTGTTTGGCGGGAGTCCAGCCTCTCATTGACGGAGGACCTTAGCGAGGAAAGTTGTGGCCCCAGATCCCGTTACATTGCCGGTCGGTCCGCCTCCTCGTTGGATTTTGACGGATCCCCCCAGCATGTATCAAGGGGCGATGCCAGTTGGTGACGTATTGCCGCAAGCCAGCCCAGACGCGGAGCACGTCTGCATGCTAGCTGCGCTCTCCAAGTTGCCCAGTTTTTCTATCTGTGTCGCTGACTTTGAAGGCTCGGAGGGGTTTAGTACCAAGCCCCGCGTGAGGTTTCAAGTAGCAAATCCCTCCCTAAATGCGGGAATCAGATCGTTGGCTCTAGGACGTCAGGCGGCCCCGCAGTTGACACGGTAAAGACTACGGTCCACATTGTTCCACTACCATCTTGCAAGAATGGCGACCACGGCTGAAGCTTTGCGTTTCAATTGATTGTTGGAGAATAAGCGTTCCGATGTACAGTGAGCGGCTTGAATAAGGAGCACTAGCTTTTCCAAAGTGGCTCGGTCGTTTCTCAGGCTTGCATGCCTTATGTATCGTTCCTTATGCGTTAGTTTTTATGTATTGTTATTTGTGCGGTATTCCCTGGGAAAAAGGAGCTTCGTTCCATACTGATCGTTCCTGAGGTCAGGCCGATGACTGTAGAGCAACATCCCGACTTGCCTCTAAATCCCCTTGAGTGTGTGCTTTTGGCGCTCATCGGGCGAGCAAGGGTCGGGCCTCCCTGGAGCAGCAAGCGGCGGCCAAGCGGGAGGGAAGCGAGGTTGCCCGGGTGGCGGGCAGGCGAGCCACTGGGGCTGGGATTGCAGCAGCACCGGAAGTGCTGCCGTGAGCCGCTGCACGGGGAGGCAAGCCCTCCCCCGCTGCCGCCGCAGCCGCCGCTTTCGGTGCAGCTCCTCGCGTCTTCGGCCACCCCTCTGTCCCGTCGTTGCGGGCATGCCACGGCGCGGCGCCTCGCAGAAGCAGGCAGGTGATCGTGGTGCTCGAGCGCAGTGGCCTCGGTGGGTGATGGGCGTCAGGTGCGGGGCGATGCCCAGCAGCTGGCCGGAGCTCGCAGGGCGGTCCTGCGAGCGCGGCTGCCGCACGCGGCACGAGCGCAGGAGCCCCATCCGCAGGAGCACAGACGCGGGATTTAGTGTCAGGAAGGCGGAGGAGGAGGCTCTAGAGGAATGCGGAGGAGGAGGGTTCCGCCCTCGTTCCCCGGCCTGCATCGGGCTCTGCCCGTGCTGCTTCTCGAGGTCGCGGCCGAATCGGTGGGTGCCTGCGCGCCCCCCCCTTGCGCATGGGCCCTGCCACGGCGTGCGGCAGCCGGGGCCGTCTTTCTGATCCTCCGCGCTGCTCCGCGGCGGCGCGCAGCAGAAGGGGGCAGGGCGAGGGATGCTGCGCTCCACGGAGGGGTCGGAGGGCGCCGGCTGCGGCCAGGAACGGTGGTTCAGCGTGTTGATGAGCGAGGCGACACGCCAGCAGCTTGCTGGGCATCGCGTGTCGCGGGCCGCCGCCATCACACGCTGAGCAGACGTCCCTAAACGTAACCAGTCATTCAGACATTGGACGCTTCGCAGCGACGATGCCAAGCACATGCCGCCTGGGGGGAAGCGGATCCCGCAAAAAACGCCCACGTGAGCCTGGACGCCCCAAGGCCTATGACGCCCAGGACACAGGTGCAGAGCACGTGCGCGAGGGTGGAGGGGCATGCCGGCGGGGACCGAGGGGATCCCAGCAGGCGGCGGAGACGGGAGCAACATGGGCAGGGGGTCCGGAGCCCGAGGCGACTTCCTGGGGGCAGGGGCCTTTGGACTTTGGAGCCGCGGGGCCCACGGTGCCGCACTCGTAGGTCCGAGGGGAAAGTCCGAGGCAAAGGAGGCGTGCCTACCCGTTGCCTTCGGTGGCGCCCCAGGTGCCGCTCCACGGTGGTGGGCACACGCGTGGTGGCAGCCCACGCTGCCTCCTCACATGGCATTCCCCGCGTGCTTCACCCAGCCTGACGCTGCCCTAGATCTACTCGTCCTCCTCCTCCTCCTCCTCCTCCTCCTCCTTCTCCTTCTCCTCCTCCTCCTCCTCGTCCTCCGTCCCTTCCTCCCCCTCCTTGCGTCTCTCTCCCCGCGTTCCGTTTGAGGGCGTTTGCTAGCAGCCCAGATGTGCCCTCGACAGTTTCGCCCGTTTTCCTACTTGTTCCCACTCTTCGCACCCAGAGAGCGTCCTTGGATGATTTCACTCGGAGTCCAATCCCCCCCCTCCCCCTTCCCATGCTCTCTCCCAGATCTCCGATGTGATTTTCCCACCGCGCGGGCCCCCCAGAGGTCCAGACCCCTTCCCGAGGGGCCGTTCTTCTTCCATCCCCGGCAGTTCTTTGTTGACGGCCCCAAAGAGCCCCGTGAGGGCCCACAGTGGCCGCAAACATGTGCAACAAAAACCTGCCGCCGTGATCTGCGTCGCAGCGAGAAGCGGCGGGGCCCCTCTCCTCTTCATTAGCCCGGTTCTCCTGCGGGGCAAAGGGTCCCGGACCCCGGGGCCTTCTGCCACGGACGAGCCGTGGTCTCTGACAGCCCTGGGGCCCGTGGAGGGCCCCGAGGGCCCGAAAGCGGAGGAAAGCCTCAGGACCCGTTTCCCTCCGGACCCGGTTTCCCCACGGCGAGCTCTCGCTCGCCGCCGGAAAACTTGCCATCCAGCAGAACTTTGGTGTTCGATGACTCTCCGTTTTTCACCCTGGAGAGGCGCTTCGCCTCCTTCGGACGTCTTTCCCTCTGGACCCGTTTCCCCTATGGCGATCCTTCACCTCCGTCGGACGTCTGCGGGAGTCTTTCCGGGAGTTGGGGCCACGACGGGGCCAAGAACGTCAGGAAGAGCCTCGACATTTGATCTTCGACGCTCGTTCCTCCTCCTCCTCCTCCTCCTCCTCCTCGTTCCTCCTCCTCCTCCTCTTCCTCCTCCTCCTTGTCCTCCTCCTCCTCCGCCTCCTCCTCCTCATCATCATCCATTCCGTCCCTTATATTGAATCGCTTCGCTCATTCCGCCGGCCCGTATTGTGCCATCGCGGAGTCTTGGGGGGTCTTGGGGGCCTTTGGAAGCTTCGTGGGAGCTTCTTGGGAACTTTGGGAGGCCTCGTGGATGGCTCTGGGTGGGCCCTCTTGGTGGTCTCTTGGGGGGGTCTGCCTGGCCTCTTGGGGGCCTCCTGGGAGCTTCCTGGGGGTCTCTTGGGGGCCTCTTGGGGCTTTCTTGCGGCCTGTTGGGGGCCTCTTGGGGCTCTCTTGGGGGCTTCGTGGGGCTACTTGGGGGCTTGTAGGGGCATTTCGGGGGCGTGTTTGGGCGGGAGGCTCAAAATTTCCGTTCAGGTTGCCCCTGTGGACCTCAATCATGGGGCCGTCTTGGGGCCTCTTGGACCTTCTTGAGGGTTTCTTGGGCCTTCTTGGAGCGCTGTTGGGCTGTCTTTGAGCCGTCTTGAGGGTCTCTCGAGCCGTCTTGAGGTGATATTGGGGGCCTCTTGGACCGCCTGGAAAGGTGTGAAAGACGAAGAGGCGGATATGTTAAAAATGCACGTTTTCCTAAGGGAATGAAGCGATTTTTGCTTGTGGGAGCCCTCTTGGGACGCCGCTTAGGGACCTCTTGGGGCGTCTTGAAGGCCTGTTGGGCCGTCTTGAGGCCATCGTAGGCGTTTGGGGGTGATATTTCGGCGTCTCCCGGCTCTCTTGGACCGTCTGGAGGGCTTCTCGGGCCCCTCTTGGACCGATTTGGAGCCCTCCTGGGCTCCGAAAAAGAGTTCTTGAGGGTTTCTTGGGCCTTCTTGGAGCGCTCTTGGGCCGTCTTTGAGCGGTCTAGAGGGTCTCTCGGGCCGTCTTGGGGTGATCTTGGAGGCCTCTTGGACCGCCTTGAAAGGTGTGAAAGACGAAGAGGAGGATGGATGTGTGAAAGACGAAGAGGCGGATCTGTTCAAAATGCACGTTTTCCCAAGGGAATGGGACGACTTTTGCTAGTGGGAGCCCTCTTGGGATGCCGCTTAAGGACCTCTTAGGGACCTCTTGGGGCGTCTTGAAGGCCTGTTGGGCCGTCTTGAGGCCATCGTAGGCGTTTGGGAGTGATATTTCGGCGTCTCCCGGCTCTCTTGGACCGTCTGGAGGGCTTCTCGGGCCCCTCTTGGACCGATTTGGAGCCCTCCTGGGCTCCGAAAAAGAGTTCTTGAGGGTTTCTTGGGCCTTCTTGGAGCGCTCTTGGGCCGTCTTTGAGCGGTCCAGAGGGTCTCTCGGGCCGTCTTGGGGTGATCTTGGGGGCCTCTTGGACCGCCTTGAAAGATGTGAAAGACGAAGAGGCGGATCTGTTCAAAATGCACGTTTTCCTAAGGGAATTGGACGATTTTTGCTTGTGGGAGCCCTCTTGGGGCGCCGCTTAGGGACCTCTTGGGGCGTCTTGAAGGCCTGTTGGGCCGTCTTGAGGCCATCGCAGGCGTTTGGGAGTGATATTTCGGCGTCTCCCGGCACTCTTGGACCGTCTGGAGGGCTTGCCGGGACCTTGCCGGGACCTTGCCGGGACCTTGCCGGGACCTTGCCGGGACCTTGCCAGGACCTTGCCGGGGCCTTGCCGGGACCTTGCCGGGACCTTGCCAGGACCTTGCCAGGACCTTGCCGGGACCTTGCCGGGGTACTTTTCGTCCGGGGACCCCCAAGGCCCGCCCCGCGCGCGCGAACTAGAAATATTTTTGAGCAGTTACCGGAGATCTTAGCACGCCCCCGGCCCGTTGGGCCGGCGAATTTGATTGTTTGATTATGTTTGAGCTGTTTCTTCAAATAAAAACATTTGTTGTATTGTGCCTCCAAAATCTGCCTGTAGGAGGACATGCCCAACCTAATGCAAGGGTCGGTTGTT